TAGACAAACACCAAACATTGAAACAAAAATTAGGTAAAAAAAAGTAAATAAATAAATAAATAAATTCCCAATTAGTATTATGGAGACACTCGTGACGCAACACGGATGTACTCATCTGCAATATAGAATGCGTTCTTCAATAGAAATTGTTTTATTATATTACAAAATTTAGTGAATGGCAGATCCTTGACAACGGTTGGTAGAACATTGTAGTAATTAATGTACCATTTATTTAACTCGGATGTGCGCAGCCTAGAATGGCCCTGGACAATTAATTCAGATCCCCTGGTGTAGTGATTGTGGCGATCACAGTGCTTAGGCATATCGTTCTTTAGCTCATGTATGAGAGTGACTGTATAGTCAATAAACAGTGATGGTAAGGTCAAAATATTAACCTTTCAGCGAGCAAGAGTTCAAGTTTTTCTACAAATATAGAAAAATTGCCTCTAGTCAGAGCGATAAACATTGATTAAAATAAGATTAAGCACTGGTATCTCCACACCACAAAACTCTGCGTGAAGATCCAGACAATATTTACTCAGATTAAGACTGCTACAGGCAATATTATTTTTAACATATATAGCAGTTCCTCCTCTGGAGGTACTGAGACGACAATAATATCCAACTAATTTATAATTGTGAACCTTAATAATATTAAGCAACTCCTCACCATTTACAAAATGTTCACAGAAACATACAATGTCAAAACCAATAGAATTTAGATATTCAGTAACCACATCGAGTTTACTTAGGAGACCCTGCACATTGTAGCTCAAGATATTAATGCTGTTCCTACCTCCATCGGTAGTCTTGGGTCGGGATTCTCACTCACTAGACGTCTCTCTGTTGATACTGGAATTGGATCGGTTTTTTCTCTTGTCAGACGCCTGGGGAAAAAATGATTTATCAACACACCCGTGGGCCAGATGGAAGTATCCAGAATTTTTTGCGCTTCGTGATCCATGGCCGATACCCTAAATGAGGAGTAACTCTCAGGATACAGACTACAGAAAATTGTATATTCACACGTCAAAAAACTACACTAACAGTACCCGGATCCAATACTTATATATACTTATAAATATTTATACCTTTTTATAATGGGTATTTTATTTGTTATTATCAATTTTTTAATATGGTGTCATCTATAGAATAAACGCAATATTTTATTAAATGTGTTTTTATTATATTTTTGCAAATATCAAGAGTTACCTGATCTTGTCTGGATTTATTTTTCGAGTTTCTTAATAATTGTTCATAAGCTCTCCTTTTTGCAGTAGATATAGACATCTTATAGTTGTTTTTATCGATTAATATAGCTCGCAAAGATATGGATCATTTTTCATATTACACATAATTTTTATCATAGATATAATCTCTTTTTTGTTTTTTATGTCCTTATTAAACCAGCTTACTATGGGTTCCTGTCTATTAGGAAATGTTTTCCTAAGACTGAAACACTCCACAACATATCTTGAATATCTATCAATCATGAGGTAAGCTAATAGTCAGTATCCCTTTTACCGTCATTAAATATATCCCAATCCTTTCCAGAAAGCAGCGTTATAAGTGCTAGGCAGGTAATTATTATATTTAACATTGGCAAAAATATTTTCTTACCTTCGTAGAATCTTATAAACCATAAATGCACAAAATAAAACATGACAACCCAATTCCAAAGCATCAATCCTTGTTGTATTCTTTCAAACATAAAGTTGTAAACACCACTGGCAAAACATTATATTAAATGTATGGATGATATTTATATTTCGTCAACATCCTCTGACCGTCAGTTTTTGGCAACAAATTTCTTTTTTAACTTACGAACACGATGACGAAGGTGTTGTTCTACATGTCCTAAAACATTTATCTCTTTTCTTTCTCTGTTTCCTTTATTGTATGTTTTTTTGTAATTTTTGCTCAACTAAATTTGTTGTATAAAATATATTAATATATCATATTTTTCATTGTTAACAGAACTTACTAATTATTAGTGAAACGAAAATATCAAAAGAACAGGAAAGTGCTTTAAGTCTAAAGTTTGTTTTTATCGGTTGTCATATGGATATTGATATTTGGTTAACTGCATCTTAAGCAAAACGTTCACTATTAACAACTTTTGATTAGTCAATTAAGAAGTGGTGGATTGAAGGTCAATTGACCAGCCTCAACACTAATTGCAATACAAAAATAAAACGAAAAACCAGTTCAGCATTTTTGGAGCAAATCACCATAGAACATTGAAATGGAAATATATTGTGTTAGGCTTCCATTAGCAAATACGACCACCAAATGAGTATGCGTCTTCACCTTGGCCTCAATTACTGTTAACGGCTAACACGATATTATTTACAAAGCTTTATCAACTATTTTTTAATGTAACATCGTTTTGACGATAACAAATGAATGAAATAGTTACTTTCGTTTACTTTAAATATTGAAAAACTTGCACTTACCTTAATTTGATCACGAAGAACTGATATAATAGCATTACATACTTCTGATACAATTAGGGAACTTGCTTGTTTGGAAATTCGAAATACGTAAGAGAAGTATGTGAATCTCCCGTTGGAGGCGTTCCAATGGAGATGTAGTAGCTCCATTATTGGTCTTTTTGAATTAAAGGTGAAATTTTGTATGGAAAGTAAGATATATCATTTTTCTTTAACGAACTTAAAGGACGTACGACACCATGTGAGTTTCTCTCTATAAGACTTGGTCTAATCTAACATTTACTTGTTTCTACTGCAATTGTAATATAATTACCACTGCAGCTGCTGCTGCCTCTAAATCTTCGTTGAACCACATTGTTTAAAAAACTAGGAATACACACAGTTCTTCTACTCCCTTCAGTAAAATACCTAATTATACGCTTATATAGCGTGTGGGAAACGTCACTGTAAGACGTGAGTTTCTTGTCCTACAGATCCGAACTTCAAACATTTCCGCCTGTATGTGTGTGTGTAGGGGGGGGCGAGGTTTCGAAAAGGGGATCCTCCAACAGATGAGACTTGACGTACAGGGACACTTACGCGATCGAGTGATAGATAAATAAACATAATATATGTTTAGGCTAGAACCAGCGATTTTTATAGGGATATCAACTTTAATACTAAACAGGAATTTAATTAATTGTAGGTAGTAAATTCGTTGGGTAGGTAAGTTAAAATGCAGAACACAACTGCGCAACAAATAGTTTTTCACCACAACTCAACAAAGTAAAATTGACTTAATATTTTAGTTTACAAAAAAGACATTTTGCATGTTTAGTGGAATAACGTCGTATTTTATAACATTATTTAACCTTTTGTACGTTTATAGGTTAATAAATAATGAAATATAATAATATACAATAATAATAATCATAATAATAAAATATTATAATAAATATAAAAGATGTATTAGATGTACAGAAACAAAATATCAAACACCAGGAAATGTTGAACAGAATATTGTATTCATTTTAAGGACAATACAATACAAGGCAGGAATTTTAAGAGTTTCAAGCATGTCTAAGAGGGAAATTAGGCCGAAAGAATATACGCAATCGACTTACGACAAGGTAAGGAAATTATTAGTATCAAAAATTATTGTATGAATGTGTAGTACATTACACTCACTGTACTACCGAAACTATATAAGTATTAATAAATTTCAATTATGTTTATGTAATTTTAGAAATGCAGATGGTGTCTTACTAGTTTTCTTCCTATCAGTATGTACCCCTATGCATGAAATTGAATATACCTGCAGAACTGGAAGACTTGACTAGAGTTCTGGGAGCAAGCAAGTGACCTAGACATTAGTTTTATAATAAATACATTTTACGTTTACCAAAAAAATTACTGCTAACTCATGGTAAGGTGTATAAAGGTTGAGGTTACTTTTGTCATAAAAATACAAAATGTCTTATAGGCTTTTACTTGGACAAAAAAGGTGGATGGAAGACAATTATCGCGAAAATACTATGTGTTAGGAATAATTATTAAAATGATAGTTTTAAATTTTTGTTTCATTTCAACCATTGGAACAGTTTTACATCAGAAAAGGTGAACAATCAATATAAATATTTTCTGATACACCAATGCAACAAAAGATTTCGTGGGGCCATCAAGAGCGGAACATTTCAGGGCCGCCCTGGGGCCGTTAGTCCAGAAGCTAGGTCTACGATGCTGCAGATTTTAAGTGTTTTTGTATCACTATAACTATATTTTTATGTGATTCTCATGTATTATTTATGATCGCCCATAAATGTTCTCGTCATCTATTTGGCTAAAAATGAAATGTTAAATGAGTGATACACCCCAAAAACTTTTGCTTTTAATCATTAACCGAACTTGCTGACCGTTTCGCCAATCATCAGTTTCATCATCAATCAATCATCAGTATTACAGTAACCTGTGGACATTCCAATTCTCTACAGAGTGGTCCAGAGGGTCCGTAAGTAATTTTTAGATTCCAGGTGGGAAAAAATCCAAAAACACTTTAGTAAGGCGCTTATTCAGAAAATGAAGTTCTCAACGTTGTCCCCTATAAAATTTAGAAAAATGTTGGCAGACGTCAATTATAAGATTAGCCGGTGGCAGCAATAAATAGGAGGCGATAACGACGAAAAATATTCAAGAAGATTTACTTTTTAATCAAAAGTATTCTTTTCAATGCTGCCTTCGATAAAATTAATCTATATTTTTTTCATGGGAATTCATGAGTTTTGTGGGGATTTAGCACCCGATGTACGTCCTCTATGTCCTGTATATTTAAAACAAGCAGCATTTTGCTAATTCATATTCGTATTCGTATTCTTATCTAGTATCGACTGTCAAACTACAAAGTCTCCTTATTTCGATATAAAAATCACGTCATTCATTTCCGGTGCGAAACGAGACTCATCGAGACTTTCCGAAGCGAACCCGAACTCGTTCGTGATTTTGGATACTATGAACATTCGACAGTTTGTGGTGTTCCCACCGCACCTTATACAGTATATCAGGGATACTTACATGGGGTTGCCCGGCCGTGTCCAATATTTCGAAGTAGACCATTTCGTTGTCGATGACGGTGTGGAAGGTGTACACTTTCTCCAACGTCGGGTCGTATTCGCCGATGTATCTTCTCGTTATAAATCTTACAACCATCGCTGCAAATAATAATTTATCATTTGCACTTGTCAATTTTTGCATCGACAGAATTGAATAAAATTGTTACATAAACTTTTCCTATTCTATTTCGAGTTAAAACGAATTTTACTTTCGAGACGAAACTCGATTTTAACTAAAGGAGTTGCAGATGTAAATGGCATTTGTCTCCTGCCCGAAACTTTTTGAATTTGGTGTAAATTCCGCTGGAAGATATGAAAAAGATGTGAAAGTGTGTTAAAAAGTTACGGGCACAAGGTTGACGAGCCCTCCGGTAATAAGATGGCGGAAAATATTTTTTCCTCCGTCATGCTCAATGGCAACTTCGACGTTGAGAGCATTTAATATACGCTGGTAATTTTTTTTTATTTTTCAGATGTGAGCAGTCCTATTATACAGAGTGCTGCAGTACCTTAGCCGTACTATAGAAAGCCATAAGAAATTTTTGACATTAGTAGTGCAAAATCACACTACAGAAGTACAAATAAAAAGGTAACAAATGTCGTGGCATTCGCAAAGCGGAAACATTTGACAGAAATCATACAGGGTGCGGCAAAATGATAGGTACTATTTGGGATGTTATTAAAAACCAAACTCCATAAAGCAAACATTTTTTTGCGATTATTTTTGAAATGTACATTTTATGCCATTTAGGAAGGTTATTTTTTAAAAATGATGTCTTTTAAATGACGGCCATTATTGCCGATGCACTCTTGTAAGTTCTCGCGGAAGCGCATCATTACCCGATGGACCATTTCTTGGGGAATTGGGGCAATTTCTTGTCTTATGGCTGCCTTTAATTCTCCCAAAGTCCGCGGACGATGTGTGAAAACTCTCGTTTTCAGGTAACCCCAAAGAAAAAAGTCGCAAGGCGACAAATCAGGCGAACGTGGCGGCCAGCCAAGATCACCTCGTAAAGACACCACTTTGTTTAGGAACATTTCTTGAAGTAGATTTAGTGAACGACGCGTTGTGTGGGATGTAGCACCATCCTGCTGGAACCAAAGATGTTCTCTTTGATCGTTGTTCAACTCGTTCACTTTTGAACGCAGGAAATTGTTAAGCATATCAAAATATCGATTTCCGTTGACTGTTACCGTTATTCCATCTTCTTCGAAAAATTGAGGACCCCACACGCCGAACTATGAGGTTGCACACCAGACGGTGACTTTTGGACTGTGAAGAGGTCGCTCATGAAGTTCCTGTGGACTATTTCCTGACTAATAACGGAAATTTTGCTTATTTACTGTACCCGAGAGGTGAAAGTGAGCTTTATCGCTAGACATGAATACAGCGCCTCTGGGAATGCTTTTGAAGAATATCCCGGCATAAATTTTTACGGGTTTCAAAATCTATTGCACTAAATTCCTGCACTACCATCAGCTGAGTATAACCTCTGAGTGTTCTGAGAGAAAATGCAAAAACAAAAATTCCCGGCTCCCTACAGAGACCCACTGGCAAAATTATAGTCTGTCTCTTTGGTAGCTATTGCTTTAGGAACGGAAGTAGAAGATGGAAGAAGAAGATTCGAAATAAGTGCAGTTTAAGAGAACTTACATTGTTGAAATGTTGCTTTGGAAGGTTTGACTTGATGAGACAAGATGATTAGCTATTACAGAATCCAAGCCAAATCAATGAAACAGATTTGAAAAACTTCAAGAGCAATTTTATTTGTTACACATACAGTTTGTTTTTACGTATAACTTGAGCTGGAAACGGAGTTTCGTAATATATAATGGTATTCTAAAACTTTTTATCATTCTTAATATCTACTTTGCTTACCGTACGCATTGATAGCGAAATTCAAGAGGTGAATTAGATTGGCGAAATAAAAAATATCCAGAGTACCAGAAAGCCAAAGTTTTAATCAGTGGGTACTCGTTGGCGCCAAACAACAACAAAGTCGCAAAATCCCAAGGATGAATGGAAAGGAAAAAGTTATATGTAAAACTGATAGATAGAAAAACAAAGTAGTAGATAAAAAATAAAACGAAAGTAAGAGACGCTGGAGTGGAGGTAGGGAACATGAGACAAAAAGACAGGCGGAGCAAAGGTGTTATAAACTATAGACTCAATTAGGATGGACCGAGGATCTGAAAACCCATACTGGATCTAGATCGGTGTGCCGGGCGACAGACACAGAAGAATGGGGAAGACCAAAGGAGGTTTATCTCATAAAATGTTGTTCCAATAAATAGGAAAAAAATCTGGGGTATAAAACAAGGAAATTAAAACAAATTTGTTTGCTGATTGCCTAGGTAAAGCTTCCAGGCTCGTTTCAAACACGTTTCTCTCTCGAGATGAATTCGTGGAATTTAAACGGGCATTAGATCAAAACAGAATTCTGGTTTTGTCCGAAACCCCGCAAAGAGATAACGCGCAATTTGGGGAAAGTTATATAATCCTCGCCTCGAGCACTCAAACATAACTGTCAACCGCACGAGATCCGATCTTCGGGTTTCGAACTCCGGTCAGTCGAAAAAGTGCGTTTCAGGGATTCCTGCCTTTGACGTCGGGCTATCAATTGAATCGCACCTACCCGCATGTCGTCCCATTCAACCGCAGCACTATTTATGACGAGGACTGATTTTACATGAAAGGGTTTTGGTTGTACAGTGCGTCCCATTTGTGATGGTTTTACAAAACTATAATTATTCTTTTGTTGTCCATTCTACTAATTCTGCTCCTTCCATTCCCTTTTCCAAGCCGAATAACCAATTATTAACGTTTTCCACCTTGCTCGTCCTTCTTAAATTTTCGCTCCTCTCTCAGTCCAAGAGCATCTTCACAGTTATTCCACAAAGTACCCTTATTTGGGTTGTCTCCAGTAGTTGTCCAGTTTTCAAAAACGGTTGGTCCTACCATTGCCTTGTATATTCTCAAGTATTTTAATATTTCTATTTAGCCATACTATGTCATTCAAACCTCCTGCTATTCTTGTTGCCATCGTCGCCATCGAATTTTTCGAAAGCATAAGTGCTTTACATTGAAACTTATATCTCGTCAACGGACCGTCGTACGGCGTCGTCGTTGGTACAGATGGAATCAGCGTCAAAAGAAAACGTTTTTAATTTTTTGTTTGTTCTTTCGCTCTCTGTTCTTTGTAAACGCGGCATTAAATAACCATAACTTTGGAACGGTTTAATTTACGGCATCAGATTTGGCTCTCTTTAAGCAGTTCATAAGCCAGTAAAAAATGTCCACGATCGGGCCTCGGCGGCCAACTTTTTTCGACTTTTGGCTGTCTTTTTTACATTGCTATGAAACACGATAGGTGTCCGAAATTTATCAACTTGTAAGTTGGCATACGCATGAAGCCTAAGGAACGTTTGCAAGGGTCTATGAAAAACTTGTTGAACCGGAACGTGAAGAAGATTCGTCTCCACAAGAGTTTACTCTTTTTCAAAAACATACAGGGTGCGTCGTGTATTCGCAAAAAATTGAAAAATAGGCCCTTCTTTCAATGAAAATTGATCACAACTTTTACATGACGATGTAGCCTTTATAGACTACTATAGAATGTTCAGGCCATTTCGTGCTATATTAAGAAAACTAATAGTTGTCTCACATTTGCAGCTAAGAACGTCAAATTTAGCAGGGAGGTAAAAGTCCATACCCACATCCAAGCTGAAGAAAAGCTTTTTTTTGCTTATTTTGGCTTCCAGAAAAAAAGTAATTTCTTCAAAACTATTAACTTGATGGGCAACATTATTTAACCAGGAGACGCGGAAGATCCGGTACTATAATTTTCACTTTTCATTTATATACAGTGTATTTCAGTTATTGGAAAAAATCTAAAAGACCCTGAAAATTGTTCTTTTCGAAAATAAATTATCAGTCGTAATTCAAAATTCCTAAAAAAGGAGGTTATATCATTTATAAAGTGCTTGGCCCGCATCGAGAGCTACAATTTTTGTATTTGCGGTTTTTATCATTAGAGACACATAGAGGCCCTGCCTATTATTTTTGAGTAGGTCAGTTCAGCGTGCGCATGCGCGAGATTTAAAATTTCGTTTTTAACCAGTGGCAGCTCTATTGACAAATTCTGAAGTAGGACTTGCGGCTTTCAACACACAACATGGCCGTTGACAGACCGTCGATGTTTGGATGCGGCATTTTAAAGACAGTATTATCTCAAAATATGTCGAATTTCTATTAAATTTTCAGGCAAAAAAGGAGTTAAGATCTAGAAAAGCAATGCAGAATTGGAGCACCCACGTCAGCGTCCGTTTAATTTGGTGTTTTTGGTCTTCAAGCCATGTAGATAGCAATTTCCACATGTTTATATAAGCATAAATCGCAAAGCGTTAGTTTTCATAACCTCATAGGTTTAACCTCCATTGAAATAACTTTGAGATGTTATATATCGAACATGCAACATCTAAGTGAAAAAATGTTAAAGAAACACCTCCTATAGACAGTAATTGAGGGGGTAAATCTCGGAAACGTGGGAGGTGCAGGGTTATAACCTCTACTTCTGGCAATTTTGCAGTTATGTACAGGATGTGCTGGTAGTGGACAAAAAATCTATAGGAACGTGAAAATTGCCGTTTTTTTGGTTAAACCGCTATCCGTAAATGAAAAACTGTAAAAGAGGGGGTAGTTTGGTTTAAATAGAGTCAAGAGCAGCAGAGTACGCAAAATTTGGAAAAAAAAAGAACATCATGGGAAATCGCTATTGCTGCTTCAAATTTATATATATACCAAAATTTGCCGTAACTTTGAAGTTAGCCGAGACGTGTAAGACACAAAATTACATCGATTTTACTGAAGTGCGATAGTGGTCCGCAGGAGCGCGATAGAAAAACAAGGACGCAAAAGCAATCTTGTTATCTATGCTCTTATCTCTGCCTCAACATCACCATATCCCGAGTACTTAAGTTTCATTACCTGCTGGATACAACCCCTAGTTTCAGCTTAATGTGTGTACCGCCAAACGTGCATTGCTTCTGATTACTTCGTCCATGATGATGTTGAAGAGGGAGTTACCTTGTCGAATACC